AGTGCCTCCATTGTGACCCACAACATGGATGACGGAACAAGAGTATAATTGAGTGAAGAAATAGAAACACCTGTAATACATGTGTCAGGACTTATGTTGATTGGTTCAGCTCTAAATCCAAAACATGGCCATTAAGAAACCGACATCCATGTAGGGGGTAGGATGAAGGACACCACCTGAAGAGATGAACTGCAATTTTGATGGCTGACTCCAATTATACATAGTAGAGGACACCAGCAGAACACCCCCACACTACTCTCAACTGAATGGTTTTATAATTATATGTATATTTTATCATTATCACATTCAGGAGGATGCCTCCATAGTCCACTACCCCAGTGGCTTGGAACTGGAAAGTGGTAAGGACTCCCATACTCCACTGGAAGAAAAGGGGGAGAGTCCGGAGGAGCGACAACACCTGAAACAGTGCAACGGGTGACAACAAAAACCCTATTTTGAAAAGCAGACCACACCTGATTTATTGAATCTAAGGCATGGTAAGGATGGGCAGCTATCCCCTTCTGCTTTACCCATGTAGTCTATGGGTGAGTATGGTCTGGGATGGGCATATTAATAAAGCAAATATTTTGCAAGGGCAAATCTACAAGCGATCTTTTTGAACACCCTATCTCAGCAGTGTGCATTTAGTGGCCATGGAAATTATAATTGTTAAGTCATCATGGCTTTACATGGCTTGACTATTTTTAAGTATGCCTGGTCAGGCACCAGTCATTACAGAGTGGAGTCCAAACAGTCTAAAAAAAGAAAAAGGGAAAAAACCCTGAAAATGAAGAGATATAGATATAAAAGATACCTTACCCAGTCACAGACTCACTGAAGTCTGAAGAATGGCTACAGATGGGGACAATAACCCAAAGATCAAAATACAATGATCTGATGCAGATAGTAAGATATGAACGTAGGTGGAGTACTCCACATGCCCGAATGAAGAACTTCCTCCGAGGAACAACAAAAATGAAACACCAGGGAAAGGGTAAGGTGCTTGATCTGATGATAAGACACCTGGAGCAAAGCATGGGAAGACAATAAGGAAGAATAAACCAATCGAATTATAAGCCAAACCCAACTGGTCAGGGTGGAAGGAGAAGTCACATACAGAGGATGTCAAGGAATGAATAGGCAAGAATGGGTAGGAAGCCATGTGGGCAACATAATAACCAAGAGCATAAACAGGACATAGTAGCATATCTGGATCTGACCGAGGATAAAAGTGGAAAAAGGAATGGAAATCAGTGAGAAGGAGGAATTACCCTCCCGAGCTGCTGAAGGTTTGGTAAGGAAAGATTGATACGGATAAAGGAGAATATATAGAGAATGATATAGAGTACTTGAAACATTGATGGCAAATAAATCTGACCTATGACATCCACAGGCTAAGAGGAGGAGGAAATAAGTCTTATGGGATAAGTGGAAAAATCAAGCACAAGGGCAGTGGTTCAAACGGAGGCAAAGTGAGGCATTGAAGAACCACATTAACATTCTAATCCGGAAGGACAGCACACTGAGGTGGACAACTAATCTGGATGGAGAAGTAAAGCTTTATGGTACCAAGAAAACCAAAAAGTGTGGGATAAGGCAGCCTGATAACCCATGATCAAGGAAACAACAGAAGACCCCTGATCAAAGAACCAAGTAAGGAAATATGTAATATGAGGAAATGTGAGTCTAGTGGGTGAAAACCCCTGACCCAAAGACCAACAGTGGAAAATGTTACATTTACATTGATAAACATCCCTAGAGGAATGGCAAATGGAAGAAGCTAACCTTTGGGGCAAACCAGATCTCCTTACCAGTGATTGGATAAAATCCAGGTGTGAAGACAAAGGATAGAAAGGGCTGGATGAAATGCTGGTGACTGAGGTTGACTGAAAAGGGATAGAGTAAGAGGAAGATGTAACAGAGGAGCAGCTGTGGGAAAACGTAGTTGTGCTGGACAGTAAGGAGTGATCAGAAGGACTTGACATGGAATAGCATGGCATGAAGAAGACAGATGGGAGGATAAACATACAGGTATTTGTTGGTCCAATCTTGACTGAAAACATCAACAGCTAGAGTAAGAGGATGAGGAACCAAAGACCAAAACAAAGGTAATTTGGTACTGAGAGATGTGGCAAACACATACAGGTGAGGAGTACCCCACTAAAGGCATAGCCACTGGAAAACAAGAAGATTGAGAGACCACTCCATCAGATAAATTTTACCTGGATGGGAAAGCTGATCCACATCAAGATTGAATGCAATAATATGAATACCGAGTGCTAACCACAAAGGGAGCAAGAATGGGTGCCACCTTGGTGATTGAGATGGTAGGCCAAGGCAAACTGCTCCAAAGTCTGTGGAGGGTGAGGCATGCTGACACCATTAACCATGAAAGAAACAAAATACTCAGCATGAACCCTAATATCTGGGAAAGGGGGGAAAAACCAAATACTGAGAGGAGGAGGTATCCTGTAACAAAGAAGGATGGGGATCATACGAAATCAGGAGAAATGGACAAAATAGAACATACCTAAGAAATCATGTCTAAAAAAGGCACATCAGGCCTAGCTGATTCCACAGTAGGGTATAGGAAGACACAGCAAAATCAGATGTCAGAAAAAGGCTGTCAAAACTCTTGTCAACCCAAATAGGTTTAGCATGTTCAGGAGGAATATGGACAAGATCAGGAGAAGCAGATTGACTTGTATAACAATCAATCTTACAGCAGATGATAGCTGATAAGTCCAAAGATGAGTTACCCCACCAGTAGCCTGTGTGAGTGTGCTAGTAGAAGCTATGATATCCAAAGTGGTAACTTGAACTTCGGAATTCACTGTGTAAAGTTGAAAATCAAACACAAGTGTTTGATGAAAAAAAATAAAAATAAAACTGGGAAAATAAGTTGTCTGAAAAGTCATTAACTGTTGAAGAAAAAAACCAAAAAATCCACTTCAGAATAATAACTAGAAAAAAATCACGAAGTTGATTAAATTTGAAGAGCATAAAAAAAAGTATTGACATGAGTACCACCAAACAAAAAGTGATAGTTCAGTAGAATCAAATAGAGGGAGTTACATGCATCAGGAGAGTGTATCACATTCTTATTTGTGGAGGGTTGTCACACAATGATTTGTACACGAGATGCATTTGTATCAATCGATTGTAAGGTACATACGTGTGGAAGCTCAAGGCTTGGGGCAAGTGAATTTTTTTGTGCATATAGAGGGCAGCACTGAACAAGAATAGCTATTTATATGAGTGGAGGTAAAGTACTGTATCAGAATGAAATTGTATAGTCACTTAATATAGATGACTGTTCTTGAGAAATTTCTTACATATATATATTCAAAACAAGCTTAATCACAGTGGAAAACAGTATCATTTGCTGTCATAAGCCAATTAAAGGTAAGTCAGCATGAGCTCTTTTGCTAAATCACTTTTCTATTTTGTAAGCTAAATCTTTCATTCACATTTTGGCTAAAGACTAAAAGACTTAAACACTGGTATTGTTCATTCTTTGATCTGTTCTGTATAAAAGAACATTTTTTTACGTGCATGGTGATTTAATAAACTTTTATGTACAGATGGTACAAGAATAAGTTCATTGTCTATATTTTCTCAAACTTAGCAGTATTTCATATGAACAAGCATTTTTCCATGTCAAATCAAATGTTCATACAGTGGGTTGAGTATGTCATATCAAAAATGGTTTTGGAACTTCACCATGTCATTACAGTCCACATATTAGCACATCTGGTCATGCACTATCTGATGACTGTGCATCTTTACAATAGCCCAGCAGCATAGTTCACATTGCACAACATTTCTTCATGAGGCTTCTTCCAAAGGACGGTACTCCTCCCTGCTTGCTTTCAGTATAATTTCAACAGTCTGATCACACAAAATCCCATAGTAATGTGACCAGTATATCTTTGTATGGAATAGTATGAATAACCATTTCATTTTCCAGTTACTTGAGATATGTGATGGATGAAAAGACATGTTGTGGAAGTAACTTGTGTACACATGACCATTTTCACTTTTCCAGACAGAGATCCTTTTCTATTTATTATGTTCTATACTGGGGTACGTGGAAAGCCTTTGTCACTGTCCTGTGCCTGTGTTCATAGATTCCACCTATTACAAGCCACCACATTTTTCCAATGCTTTTAATTATAAAGGATATCCCTATCTTGGACATTCTAATTCCCAACCTGATTACATCTTTATTCTCTGTGTATATGAATATTTTGCATCAGAAAGGGTTATTACATACCTTTCCCAAAAGCAATCAATTTTTGGTAGACTCACACTACCTAAAAACTACTAAACAATGTCAAAATATAGTTCTGATACATGTTGTTTCATCAAGAATTTATATCATTGTGTTTTTCACATGATTTGCTGACTTACATGTTCAAAATTGTTTTAATGTAATGTATTCAACCACATGTAGAACACTTACTTTGATGTTTCATGCATTACTGAAATATCTTTAATTGTACTAGCAACAAAATGTCCAACTAATTGTTGAATCACTGAATTCACTTCAAACATACCAAATGATTATGAATTGTAACAGATATTTTGTACAAAACAGCTGGTTAACACATTTCAGTTTAAACTATGGAATTTTAATGTAAAACATTACAATTATGAAATTTCAATCAAAGGTCAAGATATTAAAATGATGATGATACATGACAGAACTTCCAAGGTATGCAGTAAATATTATGTTTAGAAGTAACTTCAAAAAATTAACATTATCCATGTCCCTAGACATAAAAAACAGGTTTTAATCCACCACTGAATTTCCTTTTACAAAAAGGAACATATGCAATTATATTTTGACAAAATTACCTTTGATGAGTATTGTTTTGAATCCCAGATTAGCCACCACATATGACCAATGTGCAATTTCTAAATTTTGAATATTTGCTAGACTTTTTACTTAGGCTTCTAAATGCAACAAATGTAATATATGAATTACTTAAACTTACCACTAGATGGAGCAAGTGGTGTAACCTTGTGATGATTTGGAGTGATGTCACACAACTCAATCTGCTGAGGTGGTCGAAGTTGAATTTCTGTACTTAAATTTGAAAGGTTTAATCTCGTTGTTAAAGATCTTGGGTTGTTGTAACGCTGTCTTGTTTTTTGAATATAGCTATCTAAAAAATATATGGACAAAAAGTCTAATATCACATTGTAAAAGTATGCGAGTTTCAAAAATTTTGATAATTGCCAATCCTTTTAACTGTGTATATCTTGGAGTTTGAATTACTTTTCTTTAAAAAGTACAGAAACCCTGGCTAAAGCCTTTGCATTACAATGTTTAACTTCTATTAAAAACAAAACAAGAACAGGTATAAGACAACATTCTTGTGCTTGAATTTATGTACATTTACAAATTTACTTCTAATGTTTCTTCTAACAATAGCTAATCTTCTGTCTTTGTCATAGGTATGTGATTGTTTACTATGTGTATTTTGTTTATTACAGCCACATATATTATTGTAATGTGAATCAAAAACGGATTCTTTTGATAGTTCTGCTGGCGAGATATCACAATAATGTTTAGCCCAATAATTTTCTTCCACACTCTCATCTGCATATTAGTGTATATGCCACTGTATACATAATTATTTAAACAGAAGTTTAGAAGTCATGATTTTCTTTAATTTTCATACTTGATTGTGGCTCAAAATCTGAAAACAGCATCAGTGAAAAGTAATCTGATATTTCGTTAGTAAATTGGTTAAAATCAAGAAAAAACTCCAGTACTAACTGCCATTATCTTTCCTACAGTAGTCCTACACTTATTTTCTTTTTTTAATGAAATATCGGTGACATTATTTTAAAGTAACTTGTATTTAATGACACAATATTTTGTCTAACTCTTCATGAAAAATATCAATACTGTGGTAATTTTCTTAACCATTTATCTGACCAAAATTAATGAAAACTTAACTGAAACATTTTATTTTTTTTATTTTTACAGGTTAAACAAAGAAACAATTATAATTTTTGCATTACAGTGTATTTTAGAAACTCAGTCTCAATCGACCCTATGTAAGAAATTTATGTAAATTTAAGAAAAGTTTTATATTTTACAATATGTTCACATACATAGCTAATAAAGATCAATGAAAATTGAAATAAGTAATAAAAATGTAAAGAAATAATGCCTTACCAAATTCTATAAAAGTATATGGACGGACACAGTTGCTGATTTGACGAGTGTCATAAATTGTGATGAACTCTTTCTGTATCTCATCTAAAAAACTGAATGCTAGGACTGGTGGGTATGATGGATCACAAAGTGCCATAAATGAAACACCCAAGGAAGTAATGAAGCTAGAATTTCAACAAAATCAAATATTAAAAATGGAGAAAATGTTTCATATCACACAAAACTGTCATCTCATTTAAATCTAGTAAACCTTTTATCACATTTTATAATTAAATTTTAACTGGTTTGGGTGAATTAGCTAACATTATCAAGCTTGACAAAATAAAGTTTCAAAATCTGAATATTTAGCCATAAACATCTTGTAATATACTATTTAAAAGAACATTCAGAAAGGTATTGATTAAAACTTACTTTATTCAAACCAAAAGAATTTAAAAAAAACAATCAAAAGAATCAACAGAAGCTTAGATCAATAATGTACAAAACTATTTTCAATCTAACTGTCATTTCACATCATAATTTGAAGCTTTAAAAATATTTGTAAAATTCATTGAACATGATATTTTGCTCCTTTGAATTTCTTTTGCATATGTAACATCTTAGTATTGTTTTTTTCTACTAAAACATTTGCTAAGTTACAGTTTTGAAAATGTTTTTAATTTCATATTATCTTCTTTTACTTAAAGTTGGTAATTTGTACTCTGGGATCTTTTATAGTGTGTGCTTTCCCATTTAAGATAATCATTTGCTCTTGAGAAAAAGAAAACTCCAGTTCTCATGTTATTAGCCTATTCAAACTTGTATATCTTTTCTATTATTGTAAAAAAACTGATAACAAATAAAAATAACGCATTAAATTTTAAAAAAATGTTTCAATGCTTTATCTTAACTCTAAAATCATGAATCAATTGTACAGAAATTGCAAAATTTCGGTGCAACTTTGAAATAGAGAAAATCTGATAGACCAATTTTTCATACATAATTTTAGGCTTCAAGCTCCTGCTTTAAAATGGATCATCCAAATGAACAGATATTAGAGAGTCTGAGAGGGTTTCTTGCATCCCCCAACCACCACCTGAGAAGTTAAAGACTGACACTTTCCACTGATTTTTTCTGGTCATTCCGTTGGCAAGTTATTAATAAGAAATCTGAATAACAAACACTTTCTGCTACCATCAACAAACATTTTTTCCTTCATTTGCCAAGGCTAGAGAGAAAGATGGAATATTTTATACTAACACAGATGAAATGGGCTCCTTTAGATACTTGTGGTGGGTTTAAATCTTTCATATTTTAGAAGAAGAAGTCCTTATGGCTATTTTCAACATTGTTAAGACAACTGCTTGATAGCAAGTGATTTAAGGATTTTTTGGTAAAAATCAGCAATAATTATAGTGAACTGAATGCCATAAAAAAGTATAACATACATTAGCTTCCTAATCAGGCAATGAAAACTTCCAGTACTGATGTTAATTGGTGTGATTGATAACCAAATCAGGTAACGGAGAAATTTAAATTATAAGAACATGTGCTTCATTAAAGGAAAAGTTCCAAGGCTTAAATATTAGAGAAGAAAAATTTGCTTTTCATATTATCATTGGAAAACAGATATTATTGATATGAAACAGTCAGCAGTATTTTTCTGGAGGCAAAAACACAATTGTTAAGGATTGGGTGAGATATTACATATCACATTTGGGAATAATTCAAAGGTAAAGAAGTGGTGATTTATCCTTCATGATTGAAGAGGACCATCTTCATTGTCATCCATTGATTGTGTGTGTTTGGAGGTGACTGATTCGCCTGATCTTGACTTGAATATGTCTGGTGCAATAAGGGAAAGACAGCAGAAAGTAAAGAAATCACAAAATGAAACTCAAGCCCTGGAAAGCGAATGTTTATGCTAGAACACTATACTAAGGGTGTGCCAAGTCTGAGAAATTAGTAAGAAATCATAATATTTTGCACAAAATTGTTTGTTTTAGAGCAGAGTCATGTTTGGCTAGCTACCGTGTCCATCGTAGGGAATCAAACCCTGGATTTTAGCAGGGATTTACCGATTTTGCACCAATATATGTGCAAAATAGTTGAGCCAAAGTTAGAATTACATATTATAGTTATGGTTCCACATGGAAAACTACCAACATCCTGACTGCCGGCTATAAAGACTGATGTCATGGGTAGCAGGAGTGGAAGTCAAAAGTTTCAGAGCTCAGAGATGCAGTCCAGTTTGAGTCCACCACTTGATCCATAATTTCTGTGACAAGTGCAACATGGAAACTCCACCACGCTAGCTTTGTTTAAGTTAAATTGACGTTTTGCTTAGACTAGTGATGTAAAATCCCTAATACATCTATAGAATAATTAAGAATTGAAGTGAATGATCAGAGTGGAAGTCAAAAGTTTCAGAGCTCAGAGATGCAGTCCAGTTTGAATCCACCACTTGATCCAGAATTTCTGTGACAAGTGCAACATGGAAATTCCACAACACTAGCTTTGTGTAAGTTAAATTGACGTTTTGCTTAGACTAGTGATGTAAAATCCCTAATACATCTATAGAATAATTAAGACTTGAAGTGAATGATCAGTTCTTAACTGTTGTAGAAACCCTAATGAGTATCTTGGAGGAATTATTAAAATATTACCTAAACTGTTGTGAGTAATTTACATGTATTAAATGTACATGTGACATATGCGTTACAAATAAATATATGATTTATTTCTTTTCAATGTCATGGTGATATTCTTTGTATTTTTACATAAACCTTAAGTTCATGATTTGTGAGCCTTACCCACAACTGCCTGGAAATAAATAAGTTTGTTTGTAATGAGTGGAAGTCAAACCCATGACTCACAACACATCCACCTGTTACATTAAAGATGGCCCAGACCCCCTTCTGATACTGAAATACAAGCATAATTAATCCCAGAAAATGATGAAATATAATATTTCTACCACTTGCATCTCTATATTTCTATAAATTTTTTTACTGTTAATTTGATTTACTTTTCCATTGGAAACGATGAAGAAGTATCTGATCCTTAGACCTCATCATCCTCCTGAATTGACCCCTGCAAAATGTTGTTTTGGTATTCATGAAGTTTCCCTAAGCAAGGCTATTTTTGCTCTGAATAATTCCATTTTGACCTTGATCTGCATGTGAGAATGGCTTTCAACATGTTCATGTCATCTAAGATAATCTGTGCACTTAGAAGAAACAACAACAAATGTTTTTCAACCACTACTTATGACTTTCACTGGTTGAGGCATCATCAATCATATCTAAGTCTGTCAATCACTGAACAATTGAAGACAATGAATGTGGTTGTAACAAGAGCAATATCTTATTCTTACTATTCCTCCTGCTTTGCAATTTCTTTGTCCTCTTTTGATTGGATCCCAACACCTTTGAACAAACACTTTCTGATCACTTTAACTTCAAGAGTAACTGTACTGTGACTGCATCCATAACTTGTGCCTTCCAACCTTGCACTCGCAACTGATACTGGAGTAAATATGATTTTCAGACATTCTCTCAGTGTATATTGACTAGTTTAGCACTGAAAATAGGTCTTCAATTTTTAAACTACTTTGCAAAAGGCAATAAACCTTCCATCAAACCTTGAGACAAATAGGAGTAAGAACTCATTTAGAAAAAAAAAAAACTATATTTCTCTGTAAAAAAGTGAACTTATGAACACAAAGTTGTACTGTTTGAAATCTCTAATACTATTATTGCAAAGTAATTTTAATGGCTTTTGTTGTTTTCTGGATATTGTGATGTCCAAAACAGCCACTAATATCTAAGCAATTGACTACTGTTTTAAAGGTTAAGAAGAAGAAAAAACTGACAGAAAAGTCTTGAAAAATGATTACAATTCAAATTTTTATTTAAAAATTTAAGGTTATATTTCATTTTTATGCTAAACCTTAAAGTATCTATCAATACTTATTATTTAAAAAAATATTAAAAATCCTTTCTTTTAGGCTACAAAGACTTCTGGTGTACTTGTACATTTATGTAACTTTTTTAAGTATGCAATGTTTTGCTATAGGTCAACAACTATACAATTGATAATCTACACTTCTGAGGTGATCAGAACTTTTAAAGTTACATATTTGTTTCCTTTTTAGAGTGTATCACCTTAAGTTAGGTATTCAAATAGTATCACCCTATGTACCATTCACTAGAATGTGCATGTACAAAGATATATCACTGACTAGATTTATTATGGGGATAATTTTCTTTTTAATTTCTTCAGTAAATATGAAATATAAACTACTTGTTTATTTATATATAAATTAGTCTTAACAAACCATAAAACAGTCCATATTTTGAACACTTAAAATGTACTTTCTCACTACACTATCTTAAAATTTTCATATGTATTATGATATATTAAAACATTTTTTTCTTTACACAAAACAATCTTAAAAATTTCATTCCTGGGGAGAGCACCAACTTCAAGTAATAATTTACAATTCATTAAACTAAACATTTTGTTACTGTGTTTTAAATGACATGAAGTAAATTGCAACAGATAATTGTGATAACTTACTGGACGACATGTGGATTCAACTTTAAAGAACATCTGTCATCCAGTTTCCCCACCTGGCGTGCTAAGGTTTTCATGTGTCGTCTTGCTTCCTGAACTTCTCTGTGTAACTGTCCTCCAAGGTCTGTTGATGCTGTCAACGCCAGACCATCATGAGCTCGTACAATCATTGCAAAAAGAATCATTTTTTTTTAATTCTCTTGGGACAAATGGTGACTAGTGTGACATCACAAGTATTTCTGTAGCATAGCAATTCTTCTTTTATAAAAACCTGTTTAGTGAACAGGTAAAACTTAAATGATTCAGACCGTATATTCCTTTTGGCAAAAAATAATAATAACACACAGAAAACAACAATATCGTAAAACTTACAATAAACAAAGTACAATTTTAACAAAAATCAATATAAATATTTACAACATGTATACCTCACAATCATTAAATTATTCTTAACTCTATGCATACAGGCTCAGTCAATTTGACTGACTTGACAAGCATGAAACTATACATACTATAACTGAATGTAATGAGTGCATGTTCACACAATTTGACAAGCTTTTAAAGTCTGTTGCACTAAAAAAAAATCAGATTATTTAATAAGATATTTTTACTAAAAGCTTACAAATTTACGAAGCCTTTACTGAGTAAAGTACTGAGTGAAAGGTGTTTTCACACTAAGTTTAAAAATACTTTTTTTTCAGCTTTCAGTTTTCATATTTCATTTGTAAAACCTCTAGAACCTCCTAAATAAAGCTTTTCTCTATGATAACTGTCATGAAATTATCAATATACAGTGAAATGAAAAATGTGAAATAAAATCAAAAATATATATTTTCTAAAGTGATTGCAGATTTCAACAGAGAATTACAATTATTTATCCTGAAGCCTCAGCTATTATTTTTTTTTTCAATTTATAGCTGTAAAGCACACTTTAAACCCTCTCACAGAACATGAAAATATTACAGCTGGACAGCTTAATGTAAACAAACAATCTAGATACAATAACACCAATACATAGCACCATAAATTTACCCCATAACA